ACTCACACACACACGCACACACACACACACACACACACTTGAATGTATTATAGTTCTTAATGGGAAAAAGAAACAAGCAACAACAAAAAAAAGATAAAACAGTCTCCCATTTCATCATCACCAGTTTGAGTAAATGGCACTAGCAGCTCATCTGAGTCAAACTGAAACCTGCTGCGGTCTCTTTTCTTAGAAATGTGGTTTGATCTGCTTGATGAACAGCTTGTGTGAGTGACCATTTAGAGTATGTGTGTTTAGTTCGGTGAAGAGCTTCCTGTTGTGCTGTTACGAATCTCACAGTCTGACAGAACTGCTTAACAATGAAATAAAGTACTGAATCAGTCCATCAAAACTGATGTTTGAAAAACAGCCAAATTAGACCCACAGGTCAGAGGTTTAACAAGATTATTATCCATTATGTGTTATTGATGATTGGCAGCTGGCACTGGCAAGGAGACTAGAATATGAAGCCAAAATAGGGGACTAGAGTTTTTACTGAAATGCAACTTTACAGTTTTTTACGATTGCTTAAGCACAAGTTTGAAAACAGGGCCCGGTTTGTCAAAACACTACACACAATTAACACAACCCTACACCAAAGTAGCACAACACTTCAGATCATTTGCAAAATGGAACACTTTTGTCAAAACTATACACAACTTTATAAAAACAATATTTTGTTACCATACGAAACACACATTTCATATGACTTTAATCTTTTTGAACCAGTTACACACTGCTGTTGCTAACGGAAAACTACCAATGAAACTCTCATACAAAGTTTTGAAATAATAGAGATATTAAACATAATATAAAAACAATTTCTCAAAAAGATTGGTTTGAAAAGGACATACTATGGTTAAAAGGACGATCGTTCATTTTTAACATATACAGACTTTTTGAACAGTTTTTGGTAATTACATTCATTTGAAAAAAGTTATGAGATCCACTCAGAGTATACTTACCTTAGGGACAGTTCACCCAAAAATGAAAATGTGATGTTTATCTGCTTACCACCAGGGCATCCAAGATGTAGGTGACTTTGTTTCTTCAGTAGAACACAAACGAAGATTTTTTTAGTCAAACCGTTGCAGTCTGTCAGTCTTATAAGGCAAGTGGATAGGAATCACGGCTTTGAGAGTCAAAAAACATACACAAACAAAACCAAATTAAACCCTGCGGCTCGTGAGGATACATTGATGTGTAAATACACGAAACGATCGGTCTGTGCAAGAAACTGAACAGTATTTATATCGTTTTTTTACCTCTGATTTTCACCGCAATGTCCGAACTGTCCTGAGTGTGTTCAACAGCCGGCGCCTGATGCGTCTTCTTCTTCTTCTTCTTCTTCTTCTTGCTTTACGGCGGATCGCAGACTTATAAGTGCATTACCGCCACCTATCTCTCAAATGGACCATTGACACTCCAAATTGAGATTGTAGATTGAGTGTCAATGGTACATTTGAGAGATAGGTGGCGGTAATGCACTTATAAGTCTATAAGTCTTATAAGTCAATAAGAAGAAGACGCGTCAAGCGCCGGCTGTCGAGGACGCGCTCAGGACAGTTCTGCATTACCGCCACCCAGACATGTTCACAAGTCTCTGAGGTCCAAGTCAAGTCTCAAGTTTGTGAGGCCGAATCTAATGCCGAGTTCACACTGCATGATTTTCAAACTCGTCGGATAGAAAAACAGATTATGCAGGAGGGAGATGCTAAATTTAGCCCCTAAATCGGGCTAAAATCGTGCAGTGTGAACTCGGCATAAGTCAAGTCTCAAGTCTTTAAACGGGAGTCCAAGTCAAGTCTTAAAGGGGTCATATGATGCAATTTCAAGTTTTCCTTTCTCTTTGGAGTGTTAAAAAAGCATCATTATGACCCCTTTAAGTCTCCGAGGTGGAGACACACCTCCAAGTCACATCTCAAGTCTTTGTTCTATTTTTAGCAATAGTTATTTCAGCTATTTATTGTAATTAACAGTGTGCAAGGCTAAACCAGTTTTGAAACATTAAAACTAATTACTTCTACTTCTACAAAACTGTCTAATAAAGCATACAAATTTTTTTTAAATCATCATTTAATTTTATACAGAACATTTTTAAACCTTTCATTTTATTTTCCTGTATTTTACATTATTTCTGAATGTAGCAATAAAATATGACTTGTACGTGATCTTGTTTTTTATATATATATATATATATATATATATTAATCAGTCAAAATTCTTATTGTTGGTAAACTCCTTATTTATGGTCATCCTTAATTTAGCATTTTATACTATAATATTTTTTTATTAACTTATTTAAAAGCAATTATTTCTGGAAAAACTCATTTTAAAATTATGGTTCGTTTCAACAGTTATATTCATATTTAATCTCTTCATATAAACAAACTATATGGTCTTTCCAAATTAGAGGCAACCGCTGTATTTTAATCATCATCCAAACAAAGATGCTGCATACATGCAGCATGAGCAGCTTTTAATCTAAAATTGAATTGTATGATTTCGAAATTTGAAGCAAAAACTGAATGCTCTGACTTCAGATTTGTGAAACTATATCACATAAAACATCTGCACGAAACAAAAACAGTAGAAGGACTGATGAACGCAAATTCACTCTCTGCCAGTGGGTGGCGCTTAGAACACCAATGATACAGCGTTTCCTTGGATTCCGCTGTAAACAAAACAGCGCCGCGCTTATGAACGCTAATATGCATAATACAGGGGCAAGATAGAAAGAAATACCATCTAAACTTTTGTAAGGACAGTCAGTTCCCCTCAGAGATAAATTCATATAAACTCCCACCCCCAATTGTATCGCGATTCATTTAACATCTCAACTGATTTGAATCGTCACATAGTTGTATCAATTTTCAACCAGCTGGGGGTGCATCCTTACATCCCTACGCTTCAGGTTTGGTTTCTGTGCCGCATTTGGTGTGTAAAAGATGCCTTAACAAAATATGTAGTTTATTTACAATGCGATCTTATATTCATCGTGATTTTAAAATGTTTCTATAGTGAGTGTATTACAGTTTCGAATCAGTGTCGCGCGTGGATATAATAATGCTGGCTTGGTGTGTTTAGAGATGAATTGTTGTGACATTTGCTAATGCAGGACATATTGATAGGAATGAATGGATTAGGAATGAACAGTAAAATGTGGTGTATGATGCTGTCATGTGGGGTAGTAAAGGGAGAATGTAAATGGAATGTCATACCAAAATGACTTGTGTTTTTTTTACGAGTGTCACGAGTCACGAGTCCAAGTCAAGTCTCCAGTCAGCTGTTCACGAGTCCAAGTCAAGTCTCCAGTCAGCTGTTCACGAGTCCAAGTCAAGTCTCCAGTCAGCTGTTCTCGAGTCCAAGTCAAGTCTCCAGTCAGCTGTTCATGAGTCCAAGTCAAGTTGCAAGTCTCTATTTATGCGAGACTCGAGTTTCCATCTCTGCTGCCACCTATCTCTCAAATGGACCATTGACACTCCAAATTGAGATTGTAGATAGAGTGTCAATGGTCCATTTGAGAGATAGGTGGCGGTAATGCACTTATAAGTCTGCGATCTGCCGTAAAGCAAGAAGAAGAAGAAGACGCATCACGCTCAGGACGCGCTCAGGACAGACAGTTCAGACATTGCAGAGCATCAGAGATAAAAAACGATATAAATACTGTTCAGTTTCTTGCACAGACCAATCGTTTCGTGTCTTTACACATCAATGTATCGTCACGAGCCGCAGGGTTTAATTTGGTTTTGTTTGTGTTTGTTTTTTGACTCTCAAAGTCGTGATTCCCATTCACTGACATTATAGGACTGACAGACTGCAACGGTTTGAGTTAAAAATCTCCGTTTGTGTTCTACTGAAGAAACAAAATCACCTACATCTTGGATGCCCTGGGGGTAAGCAGATAAACATCACATTTTCATTTTTGGGTGTACTATCCCTTTAAGGTCACATTTTAGGAACTGATAGCCCAATACACATAAAAATAAGATTTTATAGCTTTTATCCATTCAGAAGGTGTAGATATTAGAAAGTGTAACAAAAAAAACAACTATTAGATATATTTGTAGAGGCAATACTACTCCCCCTTGTGTCATATATTGGAAAAAAATATATTTCTTATAAATTCTTATAATTTATTTTCTGAAATGTTCGGGGAAAAAAAACATTTAATTTAGAATTATTTCTGACAGACTTACAATGTTATTATGTTATTTGTAAAAGCTAAAACAGTGATGTTTATAGAACCCTCTGGTTATAATCTTTTCTGTTACGTCCCAGAGGTTGTGCCTCCGTGTTTTTGCTTTCTCCTTCTCTTTGCCCTGTTGTATTCTTAGGTTCAACCCTCCTCGGACTGCTATTGGTTCAGGAAGCCGTCTGTCATCGTTAACGTGGGTGACGTCATTATCTCTGCTGCCAATCCTGTTTCCTGCCAGAGTTTAAAAGGATGACTGAATGAACGCGGAGCAGACTTTGCTTTTCTGTTTGTGCATTTGCATTTTGTTTGTTTCTTTTTGTGGTGTTGTTCTTCTGTTATAGTTTTGAGTTGTCCTCTTGATCTTTTCTGTAAGTTTTCTATTTTGTATTTCATTGTTTACTGCCTTCGTAACATACACAGGACAACGTTCTCCTTGCTGACAAATTAAAACTCAGCTGTATCTAACTTTTTTTTAAATGCAGATTTTGCAAGAAACTACTGGCACATGTCCTCAATTCATGGCAAAGAAATTCATGATGAAGGATGAGTGAGGCATATTTGATTTTATGTAGATCTTGGTTGGATGAGTCTTCTGGGGTGTAAAGATAATGGATTGTACAGTAATAAACAAATGTACTGCCTTTAGATGAAGTTTTGTATTATATAAGAAGACGGGGATATATATATATACATACAACTGACACATCATTTGTTTCAATATTAAGTGCATTATGTTGATGCTTTTATTTCCATAGATGACCTTTCAGACTTATGCTTGGCATGTGGGGACAAATATCCAGCCGCACAAGATACACAGGACTCTTGGGTCTGTCGATCAGCAATTGCTCTTTGAATGTGCTTTGAATTTTGCTTTACATGCAAACATGCTATAATGTTATTGTTTTGTTCAGATTCAATGTGACTGCTGTAATGGGTGGTTTCACTGGGAATGTGTTAACCAACCCAATATAAAAGATGTTTTTGTTTGTCCTGGATGCCAAGGCCCTGTTTAATTTTGTAATAGGATTTCTACGCACCATTTGATTAGTAAGTCATCACTTAAATCTATAAAAACATCTCTTTAGCCAGACTTTACAAAATCCATCCTGTATCTACTATTTAATAGTACAAGATCAAATGCAAATAACACAAAATGTTATTTGCAGCTAATTATTCTCAGTCTGTCCTTCCACTTTACCTCAGGATGCCCATATAATCCCCAGCTCAAGCTGGATGCCAACCTCTCACAGAGACAATGGAGATATGACGCCATATATGAGTATACATACAAAATGACTTTTTTTCCCCCGTTTGGTCTCTCTTCTCTTAAATTGCATTTTAGCTCTCAGAAAACACCCATAAACAACATGTCTCAGCTGCTAATTATTTATTTTTTGAATTGATACAAGGCTCTTGACAAAAAAAAAAAAAACA